GCCATATGTACCTTCCACACCGGTGTTCCAATGATGAATATAGTCGAGCAACACTGTCTACCCACCAGACACACACATGGCCCTATAAGAGGGCCTGCATGGGGGGGTCCCGACAACACTCTACGCTAAATTCTGAGAGCTGGCTACGTATTATGCTACAGTAGCGATTACGCTTTACGATAAATTCCAAGGGGCTACAACGCATTACGTAGAATTTAAACGTGAATTACGCTCTACGCGCATTTTTCACATTTGCAAAATGCGCCAATTACGTTCTACGTTGAATTAGAGTGGTCAGACTCTACATAGACTTAAATTTTTAAAACAACCGATTACACTCTTCGGAAAAGGCCATGCGGACCCCGCTACAACTCTGCCTCTCTAAAATTAACAGAAATGACCAAAACAGCTGCCACACCCATATGATACTAACTCTCACTCTTACATATAGAGATATATAGTCTATTTTTTCTACCATGTAATGTGTAAAATACGTGTATAGATTTATTAGTAGTACTTTGAAAGCCTTTTATATATGTCAGACCCTACCTCTTCCCTCATGACCTCAAAGACAAGTGGCCTGCAGCTGATTTGAGCTTCTCAAACTTTAAACTTCCCAGGGATTTTCCTTACGAGGGAATAAGGGCGAGCTGCTAACTCATGTAACTAGCTATAAAAAAAATCATATCAATTTTCAGATTGAACCCAGGCTAACATACTTACCCAAGTTGAAGTCAACATTAAATCTTTCTCAAAATGATCTTTTTCCAGTGGACATATATAAGGCCTGCAAGGGGGGGTCCCGACAATGCTCTACGCTGAATTCGGAAACCTCTTGATTACACTTTACGATAAATTCTAAGTGGCTACAAAGCATTACGTAGAATTAAAACGCCGAATATGTCCACGCAAAAATATTAGAGCGGTCCGTCTACGCTCTACGTAGAATTAAAACGGCCGATTACGCTCTACGGAAAAGGGCTTGTTGGCCCCCATATAAAAACTAATCATCATAACAGTACAGTCTAGCATTACTCTAGTACAAATTTGCTTTGCTCCCTCACTATACGTGGTCTGCTCCCTCATGCTTTAAATTTTTTCTAGAAAAACTGCTGGGTCAAACAAACAAACAAACAAAATGTATTTTGACAGATTCCAGGCTGAATGGGAACATGAAGAACTTGGAGCTGGTGCAGTGTGTCCACCAGGAGTCCATTCCTGTGAACCTGGGAGTTCCATGCTGTATTACTGTGGACTCTGACACAGGCTGTGTGTATGTCGGCACAGATACGGGCCTGGTCGCTCTGGATGGGGAAACTCACTCCGTGAGTCGGTTTTACATTTACATGTTCCATTTAGGCCACAACAATTCAATTTGTTGCTTCTCGGATCACCCTGTCCATTTTTTTCTGATTTGCAAAAAAAAAAAAAAATTGGGGGGGGTTCTAAATTAACTGTAAAATGCTCAATGAAAGACATATTTTGGCCCCAATGGTTGAAGAAAGTCCTTTAAAAAATGTGGGATAATGTGCACAGATATGTTAAGAGAACTGCACGAATAAGAAGTACTAAATTACAATCACACAAAGATTTTTTTGAAAACAAATATTTCACTTTTAGGTGTAAAAATCTTACATAATGTACCTTTAAGAACAGGTTTCTGATGATTCCCACAGATCTTGTGTAGTGTGTCCCTGAGAGAGACAGCTTACCTGTGTGAGGATGACACCAGTCACCTGGTCGGCATCCAGTTCCTCCAGGACCAAGACTCTGTGTGTGCAGCCACATCCTCCGGAGATGTTATCTTATGGAATATCCTAACTCAAGAGGTAAGGATCAGTGTGGATGGGATATCCTAACTCAGGAGGTAAGGATCAGTGTGGATGGGATATCCTAACTCAGGAGGTAAGGATCAGTGTGGATGGGATATCCTAACTCAGGAGGTAAGGATCAGTGTGGATGGGATATCCTAACTCAGGAGGTAAGGATCAGTGTGGATGGGATATCCTAACTCAGGAGGTAAGGATCAGTGTGGATGCAAAAACAGCCAAGGGACTGACTTGTATGTTTTGGGGCAGTGGTCAGTGGCCTGACTTGTTGTACTTGTTTTTGTTATTTCCCAGTTGGAGTGTGTTGGCACAGTGGCCAGTGGGTTGACCTGTATGGCCTGGAGTCCCAATCAGGACCTTGTCCTTCTCACCACAGGTAAGAAGAGATTGTTTTTCTGACACAACCCAACTAGTGCTGTGTACTGGATCCGTAACATCTGGAACTAGTTCCGGACTTACAAAAAAAATCATGTCACATATGCATTCCCCATTTTGTTCTAAATCACCTGAAAACTTCAATAGTCAAAAATTTGTGCTGCACTATTGATTGATATGCATGTGATGTGTGCAACTTTATCAATAGTCTCTTAGTGCCACTGTCAAAAGGTACATTTAGTGGATGCTACCTGAAATGTCTGACCGTTTCCAAAATCATATTCAGTTGCTTGAATAGCTGCTGTTTTTGGCGTATCTTATTACCTGGATGTCTAACCTTCACTGAAGTACTATGTAACAGTTACTGTTACCAGGTGCCTGGCTGAAAAAGTAATTTCTATGTTGTGTCCAGGAGAAGAGAAGATGGTGATGATGACCAGTGATTTCAACCCCATCTTTGAGACCAACATACATCAGGAGGAGTTTGGGGAAGGTTTGTATTTATTACAGATCAGAAAAATACATTTATGTCTTAGGCCACACCAATTTAATTAAATTTCCTTGGTTCACGGATTTTTCTAGAAAAATAATGGAGTGGGCGGGCAAAAAAAAAATTAAAATAAAAACAGGCCTAGGCATCCTATTATGGTCCAAAATGGTACGATAGGAGCCATGAAGTCAACACACCAGGCTGGTTCAAAATGTAGACAATGAATTTTGAACTTTTATAATGATACGATTGCATTGAAAGATGGAATAACTGTAACAAATAGGATGAAAAGGACTGTTTTCAACTGTTCAGGGCAAAATATGAGCATTTTGCAGTTGATTCTGAATTTTTATTTTTATTTGCAAATCAGAAAAAAAAGAAGCGGGCGAATCCGTTAACCAAGAAATTAAATTGGTGTGGCCTTATCTGGGCCATAATTACATTCTATACGAGTGCTCCAGGCAGTGTGCATGTGATAACTATAGTGGTATTTTTTAGTTATCACACAGGCTTCCAAATGTTCCATAGAATAATTCGAACACGTTTCGTGCACACCGAGTGCGCCGCTCTTGAAACTTCAAACACTGGAATTCAGATGTTGGAATTGACTCCGTTACCCTTTTTGTTTAGATAAACCAAATTTTGGCTCATTTGGCATTGAAATGTCTGTTTTCTCAGGCGGGTATAACATAAATAGAATACAACACTGTGAATCTCATATCACCCTCGGTCCCAGCTCTCTGGCTCTTACCTTGGACATTACGGAATACACCGTGTAGTATTCTATAATATTATGTACATATAGAATACAACACAGTATATTCCGTATAGCCCGAGGTATCAGCCCGACCGCGCGAGGGATCGCCTGAAGGCTGGAGGGAGATCCCATCCGCGGGAGGGTTGGGACCGAGGGTGATGCGGAATACACCGTGTTGTATTTTATTTATGTCATACCCACCCAAGAAAACATGTCTTTCAATGCAAAATGAGCCAAAATTTCATGTCCCTAAACCCTGAAACGCAACAGCTTCAGCTCCAACGTACAAATTCTGTGTTTGAATTTTCGAAAGTGGCGCACGTGGTTAGAGCGAAATGTGTTCGAATCGTTTTATGGAAGGGATGGAAGCCCAGACCATACGCGTAAAGAAGCCTGGGCAGTACCGTAAAGTACGGCACGGACCGGAACACCCGTATCGTACATTATCGTGGCCCAGCTATGACATAAAATGTATCCACGCCACCCTGTATCTGTTTGAAGATTAATATCTATGCCACCCTAGCCTGTATCTACTTGGCGATTATATTCCATCCAGTATATGAGAGTCACTATGTCCTACAGTGATTTACTATGATCATTATGTTTTCCAAAACATAGATGGTCTCATTCCCTCCCTTGCAATCCTGTTTTAACCCTTTTTAACTCTTGGGGGTGTTTTTCGTGCAATGCATCACTCCGCAGCGAAACGCAATGAATGCGGAAGTAACTACGACGCCGCAGGGCAAAAAAAGTCAGGGATCTGTGAGTGTGACCTGATTACGACTTCAAATTACTTGAAAATATTGTGTAAAAAAGTCCAGCAGGACAAGGGTTAATCAATACTATTAGTTAATTTATAATGTTCCTTTTCAACATTGTTTTCTGCAGCTGAGTTCATCACAGCTGGCTGGGGGAAAAAAGAAACTCAGTTCCATGGATCAGAAGGAAAACAGGCAGCTTTTCAAAAGACAGAGGTATTATTTTTATTTTACAGCCTTCTTTATCTTCTATCCTTCCTACAATGTACATGTACCTGGATGGAGATAGACACATTCCAGCATTATTACAGGATAGATTTTTAACTGCCCTGGTCAATTTTAGAGTGGCAAAACGGAAAATATTCTAAATAAGGCAATTTTTGTCCTCAATTACATAGTATGATTTATTTATTTGAGAATCTTCCAGTTTTGCACTGGGGTAAGTTTGTGTGGGAGGGAAATGGACTGAAATATGCTGTATTTGCTCCCAAACAAATGTTGGCCTTTTAAGTTGTTATTGTATTGATCATATAATTCTTCTTTGTTTAAAACCGGGCAGGCACCAGCACCAAGATGAGTCCTTTATTTATGGGTGGTACCCCAAAAATTAGTCCAATATCCTACCAGTAACACTTCTAACAGTTTTCCATCACAGTTTTTGGCATTTTTGCTCCATGACAAGATACATCATCATCATAGCTTGACGATACAGGAAAGAATATTGACTTTGGAAAATCTTCCTACAAGTCAATATTCCATGTCCTGTATTTTTGACAGTCATGGAGCAAAAATGCCAAAAATTGTAATGGAAAAACTTAATGATCATGAAGCACCATCAAATGTGATCCAAAACATTTGCAAATTGAATTGTCTGGTGTTCTCCTTGCATGGCTCAAAATACTAGGTGCATGTGCACCTTAGTGTGCCCAAAATCCAGGAGCTGTGCACCCAATTTTTTCTGTAGGGGCACTGGTGCACCCAAATATTTTCATACTGTAAGATGTTAGGTAGTATAGAGCATATTCTTAACATCTAAGTCTCAGGAAAATGATAAAATCATTATTAGTTAGTACTTTTCTTTTCTTTTTATTAAATTAGAAATTAAACAAAAAAAAAAAATTTACTGTTCTTCTTATTCTATTTTACATTGTATATTGTGCACCCCAACAAAAATTTTGTACACCTAATTCCCCAAAAAATTTTGTACACTAATTTTTAGCTAATATGCATGTACATGTAGGTTGGACGCACCAGTGCACCTATTTGGGAATTTTGAATTTTGAGCCCTAATATTAGTGTACAAAATACTTTTTTGAACCAGGTTGCCCCGGCAAAAATTAGGTTGCCCATCAGAATTTTAGATTGCCCCACCTATAAGTTACTACTTTCCTGAAATTAAGTAGGAATGTTACATACATAAGCCTTTGACAATATTTCTAACAGCCTTTAGTTAACTGATACTAGTAATAGCCATTAATACCTACAATCAAAAAGCATCTGCCGGATACAAGTCGGCATGATTATTGGGGGGGCATTCTTATAATTCAGGTAGCACACTGGGCAACCTAGGTTAAAAAATAGGTTGCCCCAAGTAAAATTTGGTTGCCCGGGGCAACTTAGCAACCAGGTTTTTTGCACGCTGCCTATGAATTTTGAGCCCTGTGCTTGTGTCCCCCAGACAGTGAGTCCTGCCCTACCCTGGGATGACATGCTGCCACGAGTCAGCTGGTGCAGAGATGACTTTGTTGTCAGCTCAGTCAGCCCAGTGGATGGTGGGTACACATGCTCATTCTTCAGTTTAGGTCATGCAGTTCCAGTATTGTCTCTTGAGGAGTATATGTCGCCAAAAATATTTTTAAAATAAATAAATAAAAATACATAAATCATACAAAGCAGATGCAAAATGAGGAAATATATGCAGTGAATTGCAAAAAAAATGTAAAATGATATTTAATTTAGGTAAATGTCATAGAATTATGCCAAATTAGATCAATTTCAAAGGCAAAGAATTTGAAGAAAATGTGAAGAAATGAAAAAGAAGAGACTTGTTTGCCATGCCCTACTCTGATGTGTGTTTAGTCATTTGTTTAGCATTCGATTATTATACTTGAATAAACTACCATGTGTCGGGGACAAAGCAGATGACTGTTATATAGAAGAACAGTTCTACTGAATACATTATACAGAAAAATGATGCATGACACCTGTACCTTACTCTGCCAGGTGCCAGACGACTGCGCATGTGGAACAGGGAATGTGTGTTGCAGGCCACTAGTGAAACTGTCTCCATGTTAGGGCAGGCTCTCTGCTGGAAGTAAGTCATCAAACTGACTTCAACATTCTATCAATTTTTCCACATTCTGTACAAAACTACAATGTACAAACTTTAAGTTAACATTTCCAAGGCAAAGACATTATGTTTACCTTTGCATTATGGTCTGGTCTGTTAATTCTTACTCAAACACATTCATATATATTCTAAATCCCTCCTTCGTTAGAAAATTGTCAGAAATGATTACTAACGCGTTACCGTTTGCGTTAATGTGATAGGGTCGGATTTCATGTTTGTTTTGCGCGCCGACAAGACATTAATTTATAGCAATTTGCCACCTCCTGGGGCGTCCGCTAATGTGTTACGATGTTGCCCCTTGAAAAATTACAGTACCAGAGGCAAGTGGACATGTGATTCGTGGTCTGTTTTTTTCGACCTGCTGCTTCATATTTTTTCTATAAAAAAAATCCAAGAACCAACAAACCAAATTGGTGTGGCCTTAGCTGGTACATGGTAATTGATATCACACGTATTATACAATACTTGTCTGCCCCATGTACAGGCCTTCCGGCAGCCTGATAGCGTCTACCCAGAGAAAACCTCACCGACATGAAGTCGTCTTCTTTGAAAAGAATGGACTGAGACACGGAGAGTTTGTGTTGCCTTTTGGGAAGGACGAAATGAAGGTTACTTCTTAATCTATATATACATTGTAAATCATGACAATCATTGTTCATGTTTTGCAGTGAGGCAAAATATACAGAATGATACAGATTCTCTATTGACACAACAAAAAAGTACAGAGACTTTTGTATGGTCTTCTACAACTTAACTAAAGATCTAACAAAGCTAAATACATGTGTGGATAACGTCATCTTACGTACAGAGTATATGTATGATGTAACAATAAAGGTTAACTATTCTCTAATATATAGGGCCTAGGGGAAAAAAAGTTGCGTTTCCTGTTTCTCGACCGGCCCTAGAATTCTGCCAATGCTAGACTTTTTGGGGGGTGGACCCCTGCAAGGGACTTAATTTTTCGAGCTGATCAACCTTTTCTAGCTCCATGATCTGGTATGTTACGCTGAAGAGCAGTTATACCTGCTACACCGATACAGATACAGATCTGACACCAGAGTGATAAAATGTTGCACAATTAGTTTTCTAACATTGACATTGAAAATATATCCTTTGCTCACAAAACATAAAAACAAGATTTGGGTAACAAACACAAAACATACAGTGGACATAAAGTAAAAAAAAATAGCCTGGCACACCAATTATAGATGCTAATGTTAATGTGATTCATCAAATCCTCCAGAGAGTGAAATGAAATTGAACACAAGTTTAGTTAGAACAGAAGTCTGCAGGGCTCTAAAAAACTGGGTGCATGTGCACCTGAGTAAGTGCACCCAAAATTTGAGTTGTGCACCCATTTTTTTTCCAAGTATCTTTTTAGATATTTTTGTACATATAAAATGTACACACTGCAAAAAATGCATTTTCTTGTTTTTCTTGTTTCTTCTTCCAGAAAGAAAAAAATCCTTCAGGGAAGAAAACTTTCTTTGTGTAAGAAAAAGATTTTGTCCACGAATTAAGAAGTTTTTTCTTAGAATTTTTTCTTATAGAGTTTTTCTTGTAGTGAGAATATCTTCCTTATCGGTTTCTTATATTCATGTAGCTGGATTATAGAAACATCTAGAATGATATTCTTGCAATTCTCGTTCCAAGAACGTAATTCTTAGAAAGTAAGAATTAGGATCTTAAATACATGTGTTCCATATAAAAGTACTTCTTACCTTAAAGGAAGCTTTTCTTGATTTAAGTTCTTATAGTAAGAATACCTTTCTCTACAGAATTAAGATTCTTGTGCCCAGAAAAGGTTTCTTGCTTTTAAGATAGAAGTTCTTGATATATTAAGAATATCTTTCTCACCAGAGGCCCAGGATTCTTGATCCCAGAAAGTTTTTCTTGATTTTGATATTGACATTTTCAGATGATAACTAAGAATATTTTTCTCACCCGAAGATGAAGACTCTTATTTTTAACAGAATTTTTTTCTTACTTTGAAGATTGACATTCCAATAATAAGAATATCGTTCTTATCTCAAGACTAAAAATCTTGCCTATACCAGAAAATTTTCTTGCCTTTAAGATTAACATTCTCAGAATATCTTTCTTATCTTGAGACCAAAATTCTTATTTCTATCAGGAAGTATTTCTTGCTTTGAAGATTAGCATTCTTATACTAAGAATCTTTCTTAACTCCAAAAAAACGAAATTACTTCATCTGTTAGAAACTTTTTATTGCTTTCAAGATTAACATTCTTACATGGAAATTAAGAATAGTTTTCTCAACCCAAGACGGAACTTCTTATTTTTTACTAGAAAGAGTTTCTTGCATTCAAGATTAACATTCTTAAACTAAGAATATTTTTCTTACCCAAAGATGAAAATTCTTTGGGTCTTTGGATGAAATTACTAGAAAGAGTTTCTTGCTTTTAAGATTAACATTCTCATACCAAGAATATCTTTCTCACCTCAAGACCACAATTCTTGTTTCTACTAGAAAGTTTTTCTTGCTTTTAAGATTAACATTCTTGTACTAAGAACACCATTCTTACCACAAGACAAAAATTCTTATTTCTAGAAATGTTTTCTTGCTGTTAAGAATATATTTCTTACCAGAAAACCAAGTTTCTTGATCCTAGAAAGTTTTTCTTGCTTTTAAGATTAAAATTCTTATACAAAGAATATGTTTCTTACCAAAAGTCCTAATATCAAGACCAAAATTCCAATTACAAAACGTTTTTTCTAGCTTTTAAGATTAACATTCTTATACTAAGAACACCATTCTTGCCACAAGACCAAATTTCTTATTTCTAGAAATGTTTTCTTGTTAAGAAAAACATTCTTATGCTGAGAACATATTTCTTACCAGGAGACCAAGTTTAGTTTCTTGATCCAAGAAAGTTTTTCTTGCTTTAAAGATTAACATCCATCATCATCATCATCATCATCCATGCACTTACAATAATAAACATAAGATTATCTTTAACAAGATCTGATTACAAAACTTCTTGGACTTTTAATCATCTTGGTAGACACGCTATGTCAGTCTGTTCAGACCCAGCGTGGAAGTGGATAGCATTTCTCCCTACACGACGAAAACCTCAGCATTGTCAAGGTCACAATCCTTCTGCATCTGGAAAAAAGTTATTATTACTGTCACAAGTAAACACACATTGTACCTGAGGCAGTGATATGAAATAAATGCTAATAAAAATATCATTCTGTTACTTATGAAAATATATGTTTACCTCCAGATAAAATAAAAACTGTTTTACTGCTGTAACAGTATTTCAGAATTAACCCTGCAGCGAGGGAATGTAATCTCCCAATGACCTTTAGGTCATGGGCAAATAGCTGGTAACTTTTAACATATAAGCTCCTAAGTTACAGAGAAAAAATATTGTGTTTTGAACTGACCAAATTTAAGAGGCTAAATTGTTATTTCAAAATCGTAGTTAATGATTTTCATGCTTGTTTTTTGTACCTAAACCGATCAGGAACCCCTTTTTTTTACCTCTTTTTTTACCTAGGGGGAGGGGGTGCGGAAGCACTTACCTTGTATATATAAAAAAAAATCCAGCATTTCTGTTCCAAACTTGGTTCTTTCTGCAGCCTGACAGCAATCTCCATTGCCTCTCTTGTACAAGATCCCCTGTACCCTGTTTTTGACTTTGAAACTGATCCGAATCATTTGATAGAAACAGAAGTTAACAGCACCAGCATCTTCCACGAACTGAACTCTGTCTCCTGCATGAGCAACTGTCATCTGGGATATGAATCCACCAATCAGGGGCTTACAACAAAGATCACATGACAAATGCTGCCATTGGTCAAACTTTATATTGAGTTCAAACCAGAAAGTATTTCTTGTATTTTCTTGAACATAAACAAGAAAACAGAATTGCCTTTCTAAAAATTTCTTTACAATGAAAAAGAAGACTGGTATTCTAATCATGACTTGAACATGTCTTATATATAAGTTATAACTAAAATATCTTGATTTTCTAGATTTTCTTTGTGGTATATCTCAAGAAAGGCAAGAAACAACTTCTTGAATTTTCTTAACATTGCCAAGAAAACTGAGAAGTACCTTTCTCAGAGTTTCTACATCAGAAAAACAAGAACATTTAAGAATGTCATTCTAGTGTTACGTGTTTAGCATGATCTTGATTTTTCTTATTTTCCTTACCTGAAGAAAATACAAGAAAAGAAAGAAACAGCTTCTTGTATTTTCTTAAACATTACCAAGAAAACTCAGAAATGCCTCTCTTAGTTTCTAGATAAGAAAAACAAGAATGTATAAGAATGTTATTCTAACCATTACTTGTTTTTTGATATCTTGATTTTCTTGCTTTTTCTTCTCAGAAGAAATACAAGAAAGGGCAGAAATAAATTCTAGTATTTCTTAGAACAATCAAGAAAAACAATCTTGCTAGACAAGAAGATCAAGAAATTTAAACTTGAAATTCTAGAAATTCTTGAAGGCAATTACCGTTTTTAGAAATAATTTCTTCACTGAAGAAAAATGAGAAAAAAGTTCTTCGTGGGAGAATTCACTTGAAGAAATTTTTTCTTACTCATCCGTCTTCAGTCTTAAAATTTCTTTGTGTGAGAAAATTTGTCCACGAATTAAGAAAATATTTATTATTAAGAAAAACAAGAAAAAACATTTTTTGTAGTGCATGTATGATAGTATACAGGATATTCTTGGCATCTAAGTGTCAGGATAATAAAATCTTGTTGTAACAGTTGTACTAATGTTTAAGATTCTGAAATTACAAATGTAGCTTCCATTTCAAATTCAAGCTCAGAAGAGGATCGGTAAGATCTGTAATTACATGTAGGTTTTGTTCAAATGGTGCACCAAAAAATGTTTTGTGTACCTAATTTTTCAGGTTGGGTGCACCAGGTGCACCTGTTCCCAAAAGTGAATTTCAAGCCCTGGTCTGTGATATATGTAATGTGTTTAACATTTGACTGATTGTACAGGTACTGGAGCTACTGTGGAACTCAGACTCCACAGTACTGGCAGTGTGGCTGGAGGAACTGTGCTCAGGAGAGAAACAAGCTGACACACCAAGTACATATGGTCAGTACCTACAAATGTACATGCCTATTGTACAGTCAATACTGTAGTGCTGTGTACCGGTTTGCTGGAACGGTTCTGGACTTGTAAAAATGTTTAGGTTTAAGTAAAAAAAAAAACTAAAAGTCAAGAAAAATGAAGAAAACATAGCCATAGGGCATTGTCAAGTGTCTGCCTCCATGTTATGTGGCCACAGTTTTGCCCATACAACATTACAAGGTTGCCAACATGCAATACATGTATGTATATGCCATGGGTTCAGGTCTGGACTTACAAGTCTGGAACTGAACCTAAATGTGGGTTTAGGTACACAGAACTAATGAGAACCCATTGTCTCCTGTGTTGACATCTTTGATATCCTGTCTGGAATCGGTTCTTGACTTTTAGTTGTTGTTTTTTTTTACTTAAACCTAATTTAAAACATTTTTACATGTCCAGCAAACTGGTACACAGCACTAGTTCTTATAAACACCATCATTTTTCACACTGTAGTCTCCCACAATGTTGACTTCATTTCTTCCCAATCAATATCAGGTTCTTATTTCTCTTTGTTTCTCCCCAGTTCAACTCTGGACAGTCAGTAACTACCACTGGTACCTGAAGCAGAGTCTGTCCTTTGGGAAGGACCTGGCTGATAAACCAACTGCTGTAGTCTGGGATGCTGAACATGCCAACAGGTATGTTAATTGTTTAAAGTTAAGACTTTTGGTCTAACACAAAGAAGTTCTCTCACCTAGAGCTTTCAACCAGTCTTTCTGTCTAGTCTTCCTCAGTAGACTGACCCAGTGAGGCTTGTCACATGGCTTCTCTGAAGTGTGACGTCAACACTGGGTCAAAGCTATCTGGTAGACGATGTCGGCCCCCGTCATGGTTGAGTGAAGGGTGATGGGCCCTGATGTAATTATAAATAGCCTCTTTCACCCCTCTCAGGAAGTCTTGTTCATTGTACAACTTAGTGTCCAGTGAAACAGAATGGCCAGGTTTTAACTTTAACTAGAGGTCGGAGATCTCATGTCTTCGTCAGAGGTACATCGTTCTAGAGAAATTAACATGCGTATTCTTCAATCTTTTTAATAATCAATTTGGTCTAAAGAACAAAAGAATCTCTGAACTATTTTTATGGTACAGAACACCCTGAAACGGTTTGCCACAGATTATACAGATGCGTCGTCACCCGTGTTAGCCCCCCCCCCTACGTTATTTTGAGTTTGGACTGTTACTGGAAAAAAAACGTTCAAGAAATTCTTACTGTGTTGAAAGTGTCACGACAGCGCCGCAAAATATAATAAGAGAAGATGTTATAAAGGAAAGAATCAGAACAGGGCGGCTACTGCTGTTTTGTTAATTTGTCTTTATGACAAATAGAAGACTTGTTTTTTGTGTTCTTTGTGTCCTAACATTTGTACTTCTACAGTTAGTATATTCCAAATCTAGGCATCTCGTTTTTCGGCCCTTCGTGTTTTATTGCGCGCTTGCCTTAAATTTAAGGTAATTAGATTTGAGGTCTCCAGTGGACGTCATCCATAGCAATTACTTGGTGTGGCCGTAGAAAATAACCTGACATATGTCCAACCTATCCTCCCCCTGCTGAAGTTATAGTACAATCCCTCAATGTAACGTCATTTGATCCCATCCCATTATGGGGTTCCCCGCTATATCCAGCTGTCGGCTGTCTCCAAGCAGATGTAGGTGGGGGATTCCTAAACACAAAAGGTCCTATTACGGGGACATAACGACCTCCACGACTCTCATCTTTGAACTCAATCTTGGAGACCATGACAGTAATATGCCTATCAAATTTCATTAACTTCCATCCACACATACAAAAGTTATCCTGCTCACAAGAAAAATTAACAAAATGCCCCCTGTAGTCACAACGAAACCCCCCACGAAGCTCAGTAACGAACTTAACCTTGGTCCCGACAATAGTAAGCACCACACCAAGAATTATAATCAACATTTTACAAATACTTGAGTTATCTTGCTAACAAGCCACAAACACAAAAGGTGCACTAACGTGACGCACGGACCCCCCACGAAGCCAAAACTTGTACTTGACTTTGGCCTTAACAGCGGTAATCTGCCTGCCAAAAATCATGGACGTCGAATCATGCCTTCCAGAGTTATATCGCAAAATCCGCAGTTCCCCACACTCCGGCGAGACAATTTCATAGTCCTTCTGACGAAGACAAATATGTAATATCTATACCGACACAGATGAACCTTCATGATAGTATACGTAGCATTTATTTGTTGAAAACAGGGTAGACAGTACTAGTACTACATATTGTTTTTTCATATTCTCACACTGGCACTTTGTGAGTAATGGCATAGAGATATCAAACTTGGAGATTTTAGGGCGAATCTAAAAATAAGAAGGGGAGTAGTGTAACAGTAGGGTTCAAGTACCACCAACTGACCCAGTCCAAAGGGTTAGGACCTTTTGGCCTAGTGGTTATGGTGCTGGGGTCATAAGCTGGCTGCCTGGGTTCAGAGGGGTTCAGTTCAGGGGTTTTCTGTTTCTACTTAATTGCTCCTAGTGTTTCAGTGCTGAAACAAGAGTTACAGTGCAGTCTACCCTCTTGCTCCCGGGATGCCAGGAATCAAACCTGCGCCGACCCGGGCAGCTTACAACCCCAGTGCCATAACCATTAGGCCAAAGGGTCCAGACCTGATAGCATCGCTTGAACCCCACTGTTAGAATGATACAGATCTACAATAATAATAGTAACAGTTTAAGCATCAGACAGAACAAAGTGAAAGAAAGAGTCTATAATTACCGGCACGTCAGCAAAACATACTGCACCTGTGCAAAGCCCATAATGTATTGTGCATAGCAGTTCGGCAGAACATCTTATATACATGTACATGTACATGACTTGTGTATATAAATTAGATCAAATTTGTGTAAAGTTAACATCCCGACTAGTTTCCAAATGTTATGTTGGAAAAGTATCGTCTGCAAGTGGCAAAATTCTGAAGCAATGTTGAACAAACATCCAACGAAAAATGTGGAAAAATCAGGGTTTCATGCAGGCAAAGTATGTTCTGTTATAAAGTTTGTATACCCCAACAGGACTGATGATTGAACTGCCTTGCCTTGTTGTGTACTGTAGGTTACATGTGGTGTGCCATGGAGGCCGGTATGTGATGTATGAATGGTCATGGGTCATCAACAGGACAGATGGCTGGACAGCTCAGGACAAGTCTTATGTTGCTGTAATCGATGGCGGTAAGATCGGTTTGTCTTTTTGTTTGCATTCTATTGTTGACCTTAGGCAGTCCCTCTACTATACTCAGTCTGTTACTAAAAGACGAAGCCAGTCCTGTTTGCGCAGTGCTACTCTTGTAATGATGTTCAATTATTTCATTTAGCCTTTCAGTCTTGTTATGACCCTGTATAATATAGAAGATATTATTATTTTATAGCAGTATATTGCTTTAATGTCAAACTGGTTATTACAGTGTGTAATCATGTTGTTTTGAATAAGTTAATTAACTTAATTTTCTACTGCCATATGTTAATAAAGTAAATTGTACAGCAAGACATGAACAATTTAGCCAATGGCTATAAAACAGTTTTTTTTTTATTTTTTATTATTAACCATTTCATTGATTGATTGTCCCTTAATGGGGACTTCCAATTAATAATGGCAGTATGAATACTTACTAAAAAGGAGTATACACTTTTTACAAAAAGTTATACTAAAATACAATATACAAAACTGTCACCATGGCAATTACCTTAAGTTCTTAATTACCAGCCTTGTTGAATATTATAGTAAGTTACTCGAGGAGAAGTTACAGTAGTTCAATTGATCAATCTCCTGTTTTGCAGACAAAGTGCTGTTAACTCCATTTCGACAGCTGGTTATCCCACCCCCCATGAGTGCCTACAGCCTACAGCTGTCCACAGCTGTCAACCAGGTGCTGTTCTCACCAGCCCCTGGGGTCAATGACCTGGCAGCTGTGCTGACTGATGGAACAGTTGTCTTTTACACGCTTAATTCACAGCAGCCAGGTATAGTGAGAAATTGGTCAACATTGCATCAGAATTTTGCCTGTTGCACACAATATTTTTTCCAATATGTACAATGTAGTAATTGGAAACTACAGGCGGATAATATTGTTCCTCGTGTGCATGCTTGGAGATAGTTGTTAGTAAAATTTTGTATCAAACATTTTGCTGACAATGAAGCATTCTTCTAATGGGTAAAGATTTTTAAATTAGCAATTCCACATGCAAAGATTGCCTGCTACTATTACAGTACTGTAATGATTATAGTAATAACTACAAGCCAATAGAGTGGGATGTTTGATAATTACATTGTACACTAAGAAAGATGCACTTTCTTGTTATGTTTACCAAAGGAAAACATCTTGTTTTAAAATTTGCTGTTTCCTCTCCTTCTTCTTCAAACCAATAACAACAGGCGACACTTTAATTCCGGACAGACACTCTAATTCCGGACTACCTCTCACTTTTCAAGCATAGTTTGTCCTGGACAATTGACATTCCATATTGTGATGTAGAAGATGACAACAACTATGTAGATAACAATGATAGTTCCCTAGGGATCAGGTTATTTCTGCAGATTTCTGCAGAAATCTGCAGAATTCTGCGCAGAATTCTGCACCCCGCGCAGATTTCTGCACAGAATTCTGCGCTGGGTGCAGAAATCTGTGCAGATTTCTGCGCAGAAATCTGCTTTTTTAAGGATTTGTCCTACAAAATGTATCATTATGGTGATAAGTGGTAGATATAGAGTCAATTCCGCGTCACCGAGTGGGTTGTTATTGTCATTATTTAGAAATGTTTTGAATTCTTTGTAATTGTTTGTCTAAGAAATTTCATAATTTGGAAATATTTTGAACATCTTGTCAATATTCTAAATAATTCCCTGGTTTTCTAAAACGTTTGAAATATTCCTGATGTGGATTATGACATTTCCAATAGTTTCTAAATATTTCTAACAGCACTCTACCATTTTTTACCATTATTTCGAATTATTTCTAACATTTTGTAAATAGGTCAGTGGGATGGGAAGGAAGTAATTCACACATCCCTGTGAAGTACAGGGTAGACTGCCTGGGTGTCAGGCATTGATGCCTTACAACAAAAGAGCCACCAGTGTCCAGCAGTGAAATCTAAAAATATACAGAGGAAGACAGAAGAGTAGGATTAGCACCTACTTTTATGGGGGCAATTACCCACATCTACCAATTGGTTATTTGTTTGAAATAGTTCTAAATATTTCGAATTGTGAAAGAAACACATGGGTAGTTCAAATTTATTCTAAAGAAAGAGATCTTTGTACAGTCACATTCAAAATGTTTCAGAAATATATAAATGAATTCAAATATATTCAAATTTTCATTTTCAAATTTTTGAAAAATTTAGAACTTTTGTTACTGGGGTATTCTTTTCTTCTAAATAATTCAAACGTATTAGAAACATGGAGAAAAAACCCACTCGGTGACGCGGAATGGACTCTACTCTCCTACAAATGCTACAATCAGGTTACATGTATTTTGGGCATAACTTGTCGGAAATGCCCAGCTTTTGCCAAGTGCCCTGCAATTTGCCATGGGGATAGCTTTGCACTGTATGTTGTTCTTTTCTTTTCATTTCTTGAAAAAATTGTGATATTTAAAGTAATTTATGAAGTAAAACAATTCAAAAAGTGATGATGAGCTATACACATTACAGATGAGGACATACAACGTAACAGACGTAATTCTTTGAGCTATACAGGCAAGCATAAGACCAGATCCCGTAACCAGCTAGCCTGAGTGTCAGCCTTTTTATCTTCGTCTACTCCCCACTATGCTACCTGTAGGGTGTGGGGAGCGGACGAAAGCTACAAAGGCTGACACTCGGGCTAGTACCCAGCATTATCAGTTGAATGAACCACAAGGGAAATTCCATTGACACATGGCGACGAAGATTTCTGCAGAAATCTGCAGAATTCTGCAGAAATCTGCAGAATTCTGCACAGATTTTCTGCGCAGAAATCTAAATTCTTAAAAAAGATTTCATACAATACTTTGAAATTGTCCCACAAAACATATAATTTGTCCCTACAGATGTTACTACAATGTACTAGCTTGATTTGGGTAAAAATTGTCGGAAATGCATATTATTGGCTTTTGTTCCTTATCATGACAACCCAATGCCCCACAATTCGGCATTCAGATACATGTAGCTTTGCACCATACTTTTTGCTTTTTGATTTCGGCCTAGCAACTTCTAGCAGCTAGCCTAGGCCTAGCAACTAGCAGCTTCTATGCCACTAAATCATGGCTCGATCACACTCTAAAATCAAGTTTCAACCCTTCACAAATGTCTCTCCTATCCTACTTTGAAGTTCTGCAAATCTGCAAGACTCTCAGACTGGATGTACTCGGGATTTGGGGGCTGTGTAATGGTTGGAGCAGCTGCTGCACCATCCACTTCCCCAACCTCATCTTTCTTGGTTTTTTTCGTCTGACCATCTCAGCTGATGGCTGTAGGCCAGGACTTTTTGTGGGTCAACACAAAAGGATACTGGTCTTGAACACCAGACTCTGATTATTATCTATTGATTTGTCACTATTTAGTCAAGAGGAAAGAAAGAAGAATAAAGCCTTAGTTAGAACTTAGGGACATGATTTTAGTAGTTGAATTGCTACATTTACTGTGAGACTGTGTGGCCCTGGACAACTACCCTTGGAAGAACTTATCACCAAGGTAGCTTGGGGTGCTACTGGGTTTATTTAACAATTTTCTATGCCCCGCCTCCACACTTATCCAAACAAGTTCACGGCTTTTAATGTAAGTCTTCACAGTAAGGGGCCAGAGAGCCCCTCTTGACCACCAAACTGTAATCACTACCACATGTTTTCATAGCTTATCTATCTAGCCCATAGATAGAGGAGACCTCTATAGTCTCAGGAGAACAACCTTTAGCCTGTGTCACCCAACCTTTTTCCCTGTAGGTAAATTTTCTTGCCAGTTGTTAGGGAACTGGATGTATTTCCATTTGTCCTGCTTGAGATCTGTAAGATAATTTTTGAGTTAAAAAAATGCTCCACAAAGTAATGATGAGATATGCACATACAGATTTGAAGATTCCAGGCTAGAACATACATGTAACTGATGTTTTGTTTGAGCTATGCAGGAAAGCGTAAAACCAGCATCAGTAAACCACAAGGGGACTTTGACATTCCATTGACTGGTCACCGAAGGGTCAAGAGTATCTATTTTCCTGTCTTGTACCTTCCAAGTGCTTTTCATGATTATAGTATCTTGTTGCAGGGGAATACTTATATTTTTAAGGTCTTTTGCAAGAATTGTTTGCAGTTTAAATATGAGTGTGTCTGTAGTGTACGTACAAGTAAAGTAATCTCAAGAAAGCTAATTCTATACTCATGATACTCATGGTTCTTAAAAATGATATCTGGTCTCAGATGCATGACAACAGTCATTGCAACCTTTAATACTTGACATTGCCATACTTCTGATTTAGGCTGCAATGAAGAGTTTAAGGAATTAAACAAATCCCGACATGGTCCCTCTGACTTTTAGTTACATAAAAAGAGCCCTTGGATTTAGCACAAGAGAGTGCGTAGTCAGATAATGCTCTGAAGAGGGTCTCTGAATAGCGAATAGTGAGCAGTTTTGCACAGGATCCACATACATGTATATGAGCATGTACGAGGCCCTTATGTTTTCCTTGACTAGCCAGGTCAAGTACACGTAGAGTAGCCAAGTAGATCTAGAGAGGGTAGGGGAGGGGGGACATATTTCTTGTTGGAGGGGGTGATGATCTGAAGGTAAATTGTGGATAATTCTCTAGTCACTAATTCACTAGTAGTATCTAGTCTTTGTAAGTTTGTTCACTTGAGACACAAAAGCTACATTGTAATTAGGGTTAGCCAGACATTTCCCCACCAGATCATACTAAATACCAAAAGAATAAAGTAGCACTTGAAGACAAGAAAATGGTCTTTTCCTCTGGAAATTATGAAAAAAAAACAAGAAAGAGGAGTGAATAATTGTCTTGTCATGTCAAGTAACGTTCAGACATGATCGGAAGCAAGTTAAAACTGTGTACAATAGAAAATCTGCTGTTATAACAAGGGCAATACATCAGGGCATGAAATTCATTTTTGGGAAAAGACACTGGTGCACCCAACCTAAAAAATTGGGTGAACAAAAATATGTCTGCAAAAACTATAATTATGTTTCATTTCAAGAAAAGTACTGTAACGATGATTGAATTATTTACTAGTATGTTGTAACTACATGTACTATGTACATTAACACCCACATAAAAAAATTGGGTGCACAGCTCCAAGGTGCACATACACCCGAGCCCTGTACATTGAATAGGCGAGACACTGAAGCAAGACCTACAGTGTTGCAGTGATCCATTCTGGTATACCAGATGACCCAGCCAGGCCTGTTTTTTTAAGAGTAGAGAGTAGAGAGTTTTCTCCCCTGGGACCCACACTGATTGAAAGAAAACATTCACCTTGCTCTGCAGACAAGGATTTGAAATACAACACTGAAATCCTTTCCTCTACATTTTCAATGATTTTGCTCTCCTTATTAAATGTTCAAAGTTGTTAGGGGGAGTCCGTGATGTGGACTTTGCTGGGGTTTATATCTTTGGCTACATGTACAAAGCCATGTAGGTGGTCAGACAAAAACCTGTTATAATGAGAGCATGATGGAAAGTACATCTACATGTACATCTTATAACATGACATCTCTGGTAACCAGTCTATGGTGGTTAGGGCAGGCTGTCTTCAGGGCTCTAATATTTTCCCCAGTCCAGCTCAACAGACCTGGTAGAAGTGCTACTCCTGTAGGAGTTTTGCATCGATTATACTTTTGTCAATATAGATTTAGAACTTGTGTGGTACACGTAGGTTCCAGGTTTGACATCATAAATTAGTAAGGATGATTTGAACTGGATTCTCAGACTCAGAGACCCGAATATGGGATCAAACAAGATGTAACTTCATCCCTGAAAAAACATCTGCCTTGCCTCCTCTGCCTGTTGACCTGGTGGTAACCCCTCACTGGGACAGGGGGAGCCAGAGGTCAGACCTTCAGGTCACAATATGTGTACATCACAGTTTGGATGTTACAGAAGCTTTGCTAACTATTATTAATAAGCTAGCCAGCCACCTTGTGCAAAGGTTTCACTCTTCACATACATGTATTTTTGTTATGTGCAGTTCCAGAAAGCTTAAAATGATGAGCCATGAGTATTCAATGTTATGAACAGGATCGGAGGAAGGTGTGATACTGGCATGCAGAACTAATCGTTTTTCCTCAGTTGGATGGTCCAAGAGACACCTATACATGAGGGCCTGCATGCCCTTTATTGTAAAGGCGTAATCAGGCCTTTTTAGTCTCCCTAATCCGTAGGCAGCCTCCCCCAAAATGTAATTCGTAATAGTACATTAGTTGCAAAGTGTAAAGTCATAATCAGCTCTGAAACTTTGACGTAATTCGTAGTCGGCAGAGAAAATTTGCGTAATTCGTAATCACTACACCCCCATGCAGGCCCTCACACATGTACTTGCTCTCCTGTTACAGTACAATGTAAGTCTATCCTGCCTTGGCCCTCCTCAGCCAGGCCTCTCTTGGCCCCTACTCAGGCATTGGCATGATCTCCTGTGAAAAGGTGTCTTTTCCTTTGGAGTATACATGTAACCTACTGGTGTCAGAGAAAAGCACAATTTGAGGGTGTGCATGTCATGGTCATGGACACAACATACAGTTAACATGTCTGACCATGGAGACTACATGTTCATTCAGCATGCCTGTCTGATCATCTCTCCACTTCAAAATAAGGTTGTATGAACTTGTCAGGGTCCACAATTGTAGAAGAATTGCACAGTTGTTACAGAATATGTACAACATGTAACTATGGAGAAATTAAGTAGATAAACATGTCAACTAGAGTTCCACGATCTCATACCTTCGCCAAATGATGTTAGCCTTTATGACTAAGAAATTATAGATGAATCCCCCTGATTGTGCAAATAGGATCCTATATTGCATCAATTATATCTGTTGATCATATTCTACACAAGAAGTCTTATCTTATCAATGCATGCCATTATAGCATGTTCTCATAAATTATGCAAATGAGTTCCTTATTTGAATAAGTTATGTTTAATTATGTTCACCTTCACATAAGTTTCAAATACCCCAAGTATGAAATTCCAGACATTACCACTATGTAATTATAACATTTTCTTGTTAATTATGCAAATTAAGTCTTCATTTGCATAATCAATATCTGCCTGTATTTCTGCCGTTCTGAATTACATGTCACAAGCTTGAATCGTCCTATCGTGGAATGCAGCTGATTTATAGAATTTCCTCATTAATTATGCAAATTACATTAATATTTGCATAATTGTAATATCATTATGTCAAGCATCGCTTCAGCTACCTACATGCTAAAAATCACGACGATCCATCAGTCGGTTCTTGAGTTATCCGCCTTTAAACATTTTTCAACTAATGTCCCTGCAGTTCCAGAGCAAGCCGCTAGGGGGCCCAAACTCACGTCACTTGTTCCCCAGCACAAGAGCTACCTTCCATCCAAATTTCGTCACCCTAGCATGTCTAGATCACGAGATATCAAAACCGGAAGTTCAGCTGCAGTACCATAA